GTGTGTGTGTGTGTGTGTGTGTGTGTGTGTGTGTGTGTGTGTGTGAGTGTGTGGCTGTTGCGCACAAAAGAGTCCAGGCCCTCGACAGATCCTCTGTGTCTGGCTTCGGTCCCTCAGTTCAGATGGACTCTACAGACCTGCGGGCCATCTGACCTTGAACACTAAAGAGAGAAGACAAGCAAACAAACGCAGGAACGCTCTGCAGCGGACGACTCGTCCTGTCCTCAAACAGCATGGCGAGTGTGGGATCTTCCTGGCTGCGCTGGGGAGTGCTGCTTTCTCTCATATTCTGTGTGTTTGCTCAGGGGAACAGCTGGGAGTGTTTGGACAAGGACGAGATTGTTACTGAAATGTCCAAGGACGCTGAGATGCCGTCTGAGTGTGTGTTAACCTGTACGGCGCTCTCTTACAGACAGATTGTAGACAGACAGCAAAAACTCACGGTCCGCTTCAAAGACTCACATCCCGGTAAGAGCCGTTTCCTTTCTAATGTGTGTTAAATGTCTTAAACAATCATTCTAAAATGAATGAGACTCTTTTCGGGGTCTTTTGTCTAGTAAGAATGAAAAGACAGACAGCTCTGTGTACAGAAAAGTGCAAAAATCTTGTGCAGTTTATACACTATATGCAAATTATACCTGGTGGTGGTTGAGGAGAGACCCCCCCACATGACTATTAAGTGCTTTGGGTGTACAACAATACACAATAAAGCGCTATATAAATGCATCATTCATTCATTCATTCAATTATATGTGTCCCTGCAGCACAAAAGCAGTGTTAAGTCGCTGGGGTATATTAGTAGCAATAGCCAACAATACATTGTATGGGTCAAATTGATAGATTTTTCTTTTATGCCAAAAATCATTAGGATATTAAGTAAAGATCATGTTCCATGAAGATATTTTGTAAATTTCCTACCCGGTTGGTATTCAGAGCATCGCAAGGATTTGACCTTGACCACAAGTTGGTTTTAGTGCTAAAGAGGCTGTAAGGTCTAAGAATGGTCTTTACTTGGTTCAAACATTTTCACTTTCGCAGCTATTAGTGTTGCTGTTTTTATCTCTACTACCCTCACACTCTTCACCAGGTAGAAGAGGGGGTGTTTTGGAGTGGGACAGAGTTTGTCATGTGTATGTGGGAGCAGATCTTCACATTTTGGTGATTCTAGAGTGAGCATCCTAATAGACATTTCTGCAAATTTATACACTAGAGTTTTACCCGTTTTCATAAAAAGTGAGTGGGATCTCTGCCTACGCAGTGGTCTCTGTTATAATGCTAGCTTGTTTAAAAAGCTTTTAGCAATTAGTGGCATTGCTAGGTGGTTGCTAGGGTGTTCTGGGTGGTGTCTAGTGTGTTGCTTGGTGGGTGCTATTCTGTCTATGGGACATACATGCATATATATACACACACACACACACACACACACACACACACACACACTAGTAGTCAAAAGTTGGGAATAATTAAGATCTTATGCTCGCCAAGGCTGCATTTATTTAATAAAAAAAAATACAGTAAAAACAATAATGTTAAATATTATTGTAATTAAAAAGTTATTTCTATTTTATTTTAAACTCAGAAATCATTCTAATATGCTATTTTGTGCTCAAGAAATATTTATTATTATTAGTGTTGAAAATAATTACAAAAATTATTAATAACTTAATAGCTTTAAAGCTTAATAACTTTGTGTTAGCCGTGATACACTACCATACACTCCTAAAGGTTTTTGGGGTAAGTAATATTAAAACAACAACAAAGAAATGAATACTCTTATTCAGCAAAGATGCGCATGATAAACAGATTAAATGTGGCAGACATAAAGACATTTATAATTTCACAAAAGACTGGTATTTCAAATAAATGCTTTTGAACTTTTGAAAAAAAAATTTTACTGAAGTTTCCACAAAAATATTAAGCAGTAAAACACTGATAATAAGAACCATTATCAATATTTGAGCATCAATAATAGTGGAGCACCAAAAAAGCATAATAAAAAATTTGAACCATTATAACTGAGCACCAATAATAATTGAGTACAAATCAGCATATTAGTCATGTGATAATGAAGACTGGAGTAAAGACTGCTGAATACTTAGCTTTGCATCACAGGAATAAATTACATTTTAAGATATAACTGAAATAGAAAACAGTTATTTTAAATTTTAATAACCCTTTACAATATGTGACCCTGGACCACAAATCCAGTCATACGTAGCAGGGGTATATTTGTAGTAATAGCCAACAATACATTGTATGGGTCACAATTATTGATTTTTCTTTTATGCCAAAAATCATTAGGATATTAAGTAAAGATCATGTTCCATGAAGATATTTAGTAAATTTTCTACCGTAAATATATCAAAACTTAAGTTTTGATTAGTAATATGCATTGCTAAGAACTTCATTTGGACAACTTTAAAGATGATTTTCTCAATATTTAGATTTTCGTGCACCCTCAGATTCCAGATTTTCAAATATTGTCCGATCCTAACAAACCATACATCAATGGAAAGATTATTTATTCAACTTTCAGATGATGTATAAACCTCAATTTCGAAAAATTGACCCTTATGACTGGTTTTGTGCTCCAGGGTCACACATGGTATTTTAGTTCAGTAATCGTGACCTCATCAGTCAACAACAATCATACACACACATATATTACACTAGTCTTCCCACTATTTTGTACATGTTTGCATAGTCATAGAATCAGAATCAGAAAGGGCTTTATTTGTCTTGGTGACAGGAGCTTCAAGTGCAAAGAAAAAGTACAGACATAGTGCAGACAGGGCCGGTGTTCTGACGATTTGGGCTACCCTGTCAGATTTTGCTACCTCCCATTAAAACAGATGGTGGCATAATTCAATAGCGAAAAGTGCTACCTATCAGATTTTGCTTCCAGCATGATATTAATAAGGTGTGAGGCTTTATTAACATGTACACCTACCCTTACAGTAGGATAAATACAGTGTTGGTAGCATAATCTGATAGGTAGCATTATT